CGACATGTATGTATATATATATATATATATTATATTTCCGACATGTTTTTTATTATATATTCCCTCCATCCCGTATTTAAGTTCTCACTTTCATTTTTCGGATGTTCCAAGCAAGTTCCTACTTTCTTATTTGGCAAACAAATCTACACCAAAACAGTGCCAAAACGGTGCATACAGTGCCAAATAGTGTCAAAATAGTGTATTCTACAGTAAAATTTGCCCTTCAGTAATTTTATTTTCTTAATATATGTGAAGACAAACCAGGAACTTAATTAAGAATTGGAGGGAGTAATTACAGTGAAACATTACTATATGTAATTGAGTTCCAATGAGAACGATGCTTAACGTGAAAGTAATGTTTGACTTCACACATATATTAAGAAAAATAAAATTACTGAGGGGTAAATTTTATTGTAGAGTAATGTTCCAATGAGAATTTACCCCTCACTTTAATGGAACATTGATTAGGAGTAATGTTATAAAATTTGAAATCCTGTTTTTGTTTACCCCTATTCAAATTTAATTTCCGTACTTTTATATTTAAGGAGTACATGTGTCTCGATCAACCTTACAAAAGTTTTAGGGAACCCGTTGTGTGCTCTTTATTGAGCACCTAACCCATCTAGATTGCTCCTTTCGGATGTATCCAAAAAAACTCATCTAGATTACTCAGGTTAGGAAAATAATCCATACAGCCCATACTACGTATTAAATTTAACTATTAAATTGAAATATAACCTTAGATTTTAGGAATATATAAGTCTTGTTTGTTAATTGTTGTTGTCACGCCCCGGACCTACCCGGACACGTCAACAATCCGCCGTACAGTACGAATAGTCAACCGCAGTCCAACACATCCATACTAGAATGATATTAATATCATTCACACATAGTACATCCATAAACAAACATAATGTAAAATATTCATTTAAAGCAACAGAAACATTTAGTACAAGTGTTTAAGCCACACTTGTCAATTTAGGCAATGCAAGCCCTCAAAGGTAATTTAGAAAAAATAATATTCATGAGCATTAAATATAATCGTTTATAAAACAGGAACGGAAGAAGCACGAACCAAGTCTTCTTCTTCTAAATCTTCCCGAAACAACGACGGTAGTAGCAACCTTCAAGTTCTACCTGAAACTATGAGGTGGCCTCCCCCGTGAAGGGGAGGTCAGTACTTTGAAGCATCTGAAAAGTACAATGACAACTATACTAAATATAATCAATGTTTCAATTTCCAAGACCCTCAAACTAGGGTGTTGTTATATTATAGTTAACCTCGTTCATTTAATGTCAATTCACCGTTATTTTCTACGGTCTAGAGCCCAGCTCATAATCACCGTTATCTACTACGGTCTAGAGCCCAGCTCATAATCACCGTTATCTACTACGGTCTAGAGGCCAGCTCATAATCACCGTTATCTACTACGGTCTAGATCTCGGCTCATAATCACCGTTATCTACTACGGTCTAGAGCCCAGCTCATAATCACCGTTATCTACATCGGTCTAGAGCTCAGCTCATAATCACCGATTTCCTACATCGGTCTAGAGCCCAGCTCATAATCACCGATTCTTTACAATTCAATTTCTTAGGATCAAATTCATCCATTATTCAAATAACATTTACAACTAATATTCCAATACTAGTTATTTACTCATTTCAATATAATTCTTCATTCATGTGTAATTTGACCTTAATATCAAAATATCACTTTTATACTTTCATGGCTTCTTCTCATGAAATAAAAGTATATTTATCACAAATGAAATTCATGGTTAATACAACCATCATACCATCATATTCATAACATATAACCTACACAATTTATTCATAAATTTGTATATTATGCATACTATACTTATAATCAACAGTAGTTTCATTTAGGCATTATTAACCATTAAAAATCCATGCAAAACACATTTTCTATCCATTTAGGAAATCTCATGAAATTAACCCAATGATTATAAGCAATATAGTCAGTCATCCTCACCTTAAGTGAGCCTTAGCGCGTTCTACGCTCCCCGATTGAACTTTGGCGAATTCCGGCAAACTTTGACCAACTCCGGCGGACTTTGACCAATTCCGGCGAAACTCCGGCGAAGCTCTAAAAATACCCAATCAAGTTCCTAACAAGGTTTACATCATAAAACCTTAATTAATACAAATAACCTCTAAAAGGTTATTTTCCGGCGAACCGGTAGTTTCGAGGCTTTGGGCTTCTAAGTCCGTTTTTGGACTTAGAACCACTTTCCAACCCCTTCTTCTACATTTATCAAGATGTATAATAATCCAAAGGTTCTTCATAAAATCCTCAAATAGTAATATATTCAAGAAACTAAGAAGAAAAGGTAATTTAAGCAATTACCTAGTTTTTCCTCACTTTTAGCACTTAAACTTCTTTCTTAAGCTTCCACCTTGTTTTGAGCTCCCTTCAAAACTAGAGAAGAGAAGGATGGATGGTTTTCTTGCTCTTGTTTGGTTAGTGGTGAGGGGGGTGAATTACTTTTGTTTTGTTTGGACCAATGAGTGAGGGAAATGGGGTCATGGGTGTACCCCCTTTGATACTCATCACCTCACCTCTCTCTTTCCAAGTCAAACAGCTCATCTTTGTCTACTCTAGCACACAAAAACGTGGGGTGGCCCCCACTCATGTGGGAGGTCATCCCTTTGTGTCCCAATGTGTACATTCGGTCCCGAAAGTTGTATTTTTCGGACTGTTTTAAATATATTTTATTTTATCGGATCAAATAAAATATATTATGCTTTCTCACTCATTATGACTCCTATAATGAATATTGATGTGAGTTTTCTCGCACTTAAAATAGATCGTAATATAGTGGTGTAAGTACGAGTATCGTCTCCACAGGGACGGACAAAAGGGAATCAAAAATTAATTAAATTCAGCGATTAAAAAGAAAATAAAATAAAAGCGTCGTGCGAGAATTGGTTGGTTTGGAAAATAAAACTAATGCAAACAATTAAATTAGGGGGTTCTTTCTAATTAATGACGAAGGGAACAGGGATCGATTCCGGGGTAACCAGATTTCTGGCAGATCAGGCCTAATTACATGAAATTAATTTAATTGAGCCTAGCTAATCATTACTAAGTTCTTACCGCTCTCGCGGCGTAGAGTACAATAATTTAGGGGACCAGGCTGATCTCTCATGCGACAGGATCCTAAATTATTGCCAAGACGAGCGAGCTTACTGCCCCTTAATCGCTACTAATCTCTTAGCGAATGATTAAGTGTGTGTGAATGTGTCCTAGAATAAACTAGATCTCTCTTAATTTATTCTACATGCAATTGTAATTCTAGTCGCGATTCTAGGTTACAAAAGATATCAATTAAATTATTCAAACACAAATTAAACGGCATTCATGCAATTAAACCGAAAAGAATCTAGCCATACATCATGATTAAACCCTTCATCAATCCCAAATCCCTAATTAAAACTACTCACAATTCATAATTGAAAAATCAATAGAATTGGAATAAAAAGAATTAATTGTCATTAATTTAAAAAGGTGGAACTTACAAAGAATCCCAAAAGATTGATGAACAAGGCTGAAAAACCCTCTAAATTGCGTGCTAGGCACTCTCTCTAAGCTTCCCCCTCGAAAACGGGATTTACAGGCTGTTTAAATAGGAAAAACGGAACAAATTCGGGAGAAATTAGGATTCCAGGGGCAACGCACGGGGCCAACGCATGGTGTGCGTCCCCCAGTGCGTCCCCTCACGCACGGCCGTGCGTTTCTGGCAGTAGGTTCTTTGCTTTCTCGCCTCAGACGCACGATCGTGCGTCCCCTACGCACGGCGTGCGACCAACTTCAGAATTTGACAAAACTTTCTTCATGAAAGTTGTAGATAATGAAGTCCTCTATCCACCCCAACTTGCCGAATGTGATTTTAATCATCCAATCAAGAGATATGATCAAAACGGTGGAAGGTGTCTTTCTGAAATCGCAGCAGAGATCATCTGACTTCATCGTCTGTTTTCACCTTCTTCCTCTCCGATTCTCGCAAAGGTATCTTCATATCATTTGTAGCCCTTGAAGTTAGCTTTCGTATGGAACTTGAATCGTGTACATTGGATGTTTCTAAAAAGAGATATGCTTGAACGATTGAAAGAAGGTCATCCTGATCGTCGTTTTCAAGCTTCATTCATCTTCTTTTGACCCCGTAGCCAATCCTAGAGCTCTTTTTCCTTCAATTCTTCATCGTGAATCTTCCGGTGACCTCCAAAGCTATCAAATCATTCTCAAATGCTTCTCAAATCATCCCGATTGTTCCTCAAGTGCCGGTACCCGGGCTCAAATTCCCTGATTTTGACTACAAACAACACAAAACTCGAACCAACGCCCGGTAAACATAACTTGAGCTAAAATTGAGACTTGCAACACCTTAAAGCTGGGAAAACCATCAAAATTCAATCCCAACACACATCAAATGCGTGTCTAAATACGGACTTATCAAATATAAGTCCTCGAAATCCAATTTCGGGCTTTATTTGTTAAATTACCAATACCGTTATTTGAGCCTCAATTGACCAATCGGTCAACTCTGGGCCCTTCCATGACCCAAATGAAATATCCACCACCATATAAATATTATCTAGATCAAGATGAATAAAAATATGGTCTCGGGAATATCGGCAGTCCCTGCCCCCGGTGTGGGTCCCACGTGAAAATTTACTATTCACGCAAAAGCATTAATAAAAATTCACAACTTCGTAACCTCATTAATCACTCCATAAGGTTCAATACATTATTCACTTAAAAGTAAATATATTTGGGGAAGGTGTTAAAGTTGTTAGCGGCTAGCTTGATATATCATCATCATTAAATAAAATAATGACAACATACATACTAAAAATAACATGATGATGACAACAACACTAAAAGTAATATTACTTTTAAAAATGACAAAAGTAAAACACTAATCTATTGTTGCTTGGTAAATAATGAGCATGAACTAAGAAAAACTCTACCATAAAAAGATGATCATATTGAATAAAGGGATAAATATGTAATGTTTAGCCTTATTTAATAAAAACCAAACATATGATCATATTTTTTGGAAGAATGATACGTTTTAGTCTCATTTTGAGCACTTTCCTCATAAGTAAACGGTTGGTTTAGTCACATTCAAATTGACTAAATCAATTGAAATTAATGAAATTCTGGCTGAAGCATTTGAATTGACACAATTTAATGAATTATAGATTTTTTGGAAGCATAGAAAAATACTACCTATTATTCAACAACAAGAGGTGGGGGTATTGGCGATCTAGCCATGGATCAGGGGTTGACAGATTTGGTCCCGGCCCTCGGCACGGGTGATGAACAGACTACAGATCAACAGTCTGTTCCCCTCCTAAACCGCCGCCTTGGACTGATCGAGATGTCAGGGTTTGGGAGATGAAATTTCAAGAAAACAGTCAAAAAGAAGTTCGGAGTATTTGTGAGTTAGTCTATTTTTATGGTCTTATTTTCTTGTTATGTTTGTTTACGGCCGGTGTTCCGTTTTTTGTTAAGGACTTTAGTTTTAGAAGGATCTATATGGCCAGTGATTGTTGTGTCACACCCACTTGGTGGTTAGCGATTCGTATTGCTCTTTTAAGGGTGATCGTCTCAGAGTCTAGCCGTAAGGTTGATTGTGATAGTTGGTTAGGGATAGTTTTTGTCACAGTTGGTCTTTTTGAGTTTGTTGTAACAATTCTCTTCCTAATGGTTTAATATAAGTGTTGGATTTATTGATAAAAAAACAACTAAAGTAGTTGTCCACGGTTCTTTTCCCAATTTAGTTAAACAATTTATTTTAACTTTACTTTTACTAGTTTTACACAGTTCATTGTGCAGAATCAAATGTTATTTGTTTAATAAAATAAATTGACACATAAGTTTGACATGATGAAACAGGGACCCCTGAACGGGGTCAATATTGAAGTCCTATTTTTGTTTAGCCCTATTGAAATTAATTTCTTTACTTTTATATTTAAGGAGTACACGTGTTTCAACATTACAAATAATTTAAGGAGCACGTTGTGTGCTCTTTATTGAGCACATAACTCATCTAGATTGCTGCCTTTTGATGTATCCAAAAAAACTCATCTAGATTGCTCAAGTTTGGAAAATTATCCATACTCCGTATAAAATTTAACTATTAAATTGAAATATAACCTTAGATTTTTAGGAATATATAAGTATTGTTTGGTAATTGTCGTAAGATGTTAGTTCATTATATTATCATAATCAATATTATAAAGATAACATACATATGGAGAATAACAAATAATGATGACAACAACACTAATAACAACAACAACAACAACCCCGTACTAGTGGTATATTGAAAACTAGTTATGCAATGCGCGTTGCGCGACAAGAAAATGCCCAATATAATTTTCCATTGTGTTGATATAAGATATTACATATACATTATTCAATAGCAAAAGTAATTTGAAGAAAATTGCATACAAAAACTTTGTTAGTATATGCATTACTGTTAATATAATGAAAAATGGATTATATGCTTTAAGGTGGTTGCATTTACAGCATAAGTAGTGGAGCCAAAGTTGAATCTACCGGTAAAAAGAATGTTTTCAAATAAATTTTTACACATAATCATTTACACTAAAAATACAAGTTTTTTCAAAGTTGGGTGGGCTAGGGCCCGGTCAGCCCCCCTCACATCCACCCCTGGTTGCATTGTTACAATTGTGAGCTAATATCAGCAAACTCGTTGAAATATGAGCTAATATCACATGTCCAATTACAATATTACGGACCTGATAAATTCGAAGGTACTTCTTTGTCCCTTAAAACTTTGTCAAAATTTTTAATTGATCAAGTTAAAACTTTTACGTATTCAACATTTTCATAGAAAGTTATTTATAATGAAAAAATTACGAGTATTTGAAAATGTTGTTTATTAGAAATATTTTTCATAAAAATATAAAATTTATAACTCAATTATTTTCCAAACTTTTTCACCTGTCACGTCAAAGATAACAAAATTATAAGAGATGGTGTAGTAAATTCAGCATAAATGATAAAATTTGACTACACTATCATCCAGTGTGCCATAGACAATCAATTTAAATTTTGAAGTAAAATAAGTCAACAGAAAGAAACAGTGCTATTTAGTACTTTACCATCTCATTTTTGTATCTCCTTACAAGAGATTAGCTATGGAATCAATTGCATCTCTCCCTCTGTATTTCTTTGCATTAGCTTCTGTAGTATTAAGGTTATCGGTATCCTTCTAGTCAGTGAATTTAATATTTTAAAAAACAATGATTGAATAAATATGTTTAAAATCGATTTTATGTGAGCTGAGCAAGAAAGAAAAGAACTAGTAGTTCAGTTGAAATAGATTTTAAAATTTTCTTTTTTTCTGGACAAAAAAGTGTTAGAGGGAGCGTGTAAACTGCAACCCGTCAATTCAATTTCCCCATTGACATTTTTCTAAATTATGAAAAGAGTGTATTGAAAATTAAAGATCTACAAAACTAACTCTTGAATTAGAGACTAAATTTTTTGTTTAGGAAGTTACCATTAAAACCAATTTTACAAACAATTTACTTTATCCCAAATTTTCAGCATTAGTTTTTTTCAGAAAGTTGAGAAGCCACTCCGTTTTTAGTGCTAAATGGGATCATCACCTATTCATTTAAGTGGTCAGTGTTTTTCATTTTCCAGATTGACATTCTTTAAAAGAAGAGGGACAAATCTATTATAATAATCACTTATTGAAAATTAAACAGTTTCCATTTCACAAAAATACAACTAAAAATACATTTTATAAACACTTTTACTTCAACCGAATACACAACCCATTAGTCCCATTTTTCTCAGCAAACCCAGCTCACTCAATAAGCCCTTTATAGTCAAATACAATTAAATTCTTAACGAGACTAACTTGATATTTATTTATTTATTTATTTATTTATTTATTTATTTATTTATTTATTTATTTATTTATTTATTTATTTATTTATTTATTTATTTATTTATTTATTTATTTATTTATTTATTTATTTATTTATTTATTTATTTATTTATTTATTTATTTATTTATTTATTTATTTATTTATTTATTTATTTATTTATTTATTTATTTATTTATTTATTTATTTATTTATTTATTTATTTATTTATTTATTTATTTATTTATTTATTTATTTATTTATTTATTTATTTATTTATTTATTTATTTATTTATTTATTTATTTATTCTCCATAGAAATTGACATGGCTGCAGCCAACCTGGTAGTAATTATACACCTCAATAGCATATAAACTACTCTGTAGAGAAAGAAACTTGGAAGTTATTAACCATCTCAATGCTCAAAGCATAGGTTTGACATAGTTTCTCAAATGCTCTTTCTGGTGTACCCCAATGATCACAACAATCTTGAGTTGTTGTGAAAAGCAAAAAATACACACATTTTCTTACAATCCTTTAAAGCAAATGTGTAATTTCTTTAGCCACAAGGTTGCCTAGAAGCTGCAAGTATGTAAAACAAGATGTATGGCGACTATATAGTTCGAAACTTGCTAGCACAATAAAAAGTAAAAACTCACAAGACATGAAGAAAGTATATTGTGTAATATGACGATATAAAAGGAACACACTGCAGAATCCTTAACAGAGCCAATACTGTCAATTAGTTGTTGTATGAAGCACACTAATGATCTTTTGGCCTCAAGTTCCTTTATCTATAAGAACAAATACAACTTATCCGTCATAAACTCTACAAGTTACATTTATGAACAATGTAAATAAATTGCAAACTACCATTTCAGTAAGATAAACGAGACATTGGTACCACATTGAATCTATCTTATTATCCCTTTGAAAAAAATTACTAAGTTATTGAGTTGGAAATGTGGTCTCCTACCTAACTAAATTTGGAGGAATTGATACACAAGGAATCATATGCAGTTGTGAGCCTTAGTCTTGACCAGTTTCTTTTCATTTAGGTCCCTTCTTTGTTTCTTAGAGATATACCTAGAGTTTTGAAAGAGCTACCAAACAATTATAAATATGAAAAGAGTGTCTTGTGGGCATTTTTACAAACACGTAGTTAGCACACTGAATTCCAAGTTGGTCAAAATTTAATAGCTAACACTTTTTAAAATCAATTTTTTAACTGAATTGATTAATGCTATTTGTTTCGGTGTTTGTTTCAAGAATAAAGAATGGGTAAGACTTCGGCATTGGGCATTACATGGTCCAATAATCTGAAAATGTGAGAGATCAAAAATGTAGTTGGATTTTTTTGTAGAACTAACAATTACCATGTACTATTTTGACCTGGCAGATTTGCATATTTGGCTTCTGTTTAATAAATAGCAGCTTAAACATAAGAGCACATGATAAGAGATTTATTATAGAATTAACAAAATGGAAGGAAAGCAGAAATCTTAACCATATCTAAACCAACTTTTTGGATAAACCTGTAACGCCTGTAGGCAAGTAGGGTCTTCCATCTTCTTCGTAGGACTTCCACCTTCTTCATAAAGTAGGGTCTTTCATCTTCTTCTTCAAGACAACATTTGAACTCACGAAGTGGCTGGTGTGAATTGATGAAGTGGTGAGGATCGATATGACAAAAAATAGATCATTGGTGCTAAAAGGGTTACCCGCAAGAAGGGAGCATTAGTGGATTACACGTGAGAAATTGTTTAATCTTTGACAAATGTTCATACCATCATATCTATAATAGCAGGCGAAGAATTGTGACAGACTTTCCTCCATCCACAATCGCGGACTCATAAGAACTTGAATAGAGGAAGATGGAGAAAACTTTATGCATATTAAGTTTGAAAATTGAATAAGATCATAATTGGAAGTTGGAACCATTAATAATTACAAAAGAAATCAAAGGGCAGAAGGTACGAAGGAGAAAACAATGGGAAATGCACGAAGGGAAAAAAATGGGAGATGGGCAGCTAGCAGATGATAACGGTGGGATATGCAGACATAACGGAAAGATAAAGCATATTAATAAGGAGTACAAGTGATGAAGCTCAATGTTCAACTCAATTAAACAAGATGATTACACCAACATTTGTTCCATACCTAAACTACCCTAACCTTGACTCACAATTATAAGATTTGTATATGTAAGATAACAAAAGCAAAACAATAATCCATTGTTGCTTGATGAATAAAGAGCATGAACTAAGAAAAATACTACCATAAAAAACAGAATACACGCACATGTATTAACGTGATATCTATTACAAAAATTGTTGAAAAATTGTTCATGTATTAACGTGAACAAGAGAAACAACCCAAAAATTGTTGAAAAACGTTAACTTCTAAAAAAACGTATAAATACGTTATACGTAGATGTGTATAACGTGATATCTGTTACAAAAAAAAAATCAAACCAAGTATACGGGTCTTGTACTGAATGCATTCAATCAACTGATCAAGGGAATGTAGTGTTCTTTTTACATTCGTACTATGTTGAGCGCAGCTATGCAAAAGTAGGAATCTGTACTATGCAAAAATTCATCAAGTATACTATGTTCTTTCTTCCCCTTTCTCGCGTGATTATATTATTTCATTTAAATATTTTTCTTGAAGCTGTCCTTTGTTTTTTCTTGATGATTATGTGCCGTTTGGTAATACCCAAATCGGCTTGGATTATGCTTCAATTTATGAAGTTCCAGTTGAAGTGACTATACCGCTAAAGTGGCTATATACAACCATAAAAGTAAACCCAAACTTACTTTTTCTAATTATTATACAATTCACAATTCACCACAAATTCGGCTCCGCATTGTTCACAAAATTTGTTTTTTTTATTTCCAATAACTCGATAATTTCCTGTGCGAAGTATAATCACACATTTTTTGCTAAAAAAAATCACACAGTTGATAAATCAAAAAAAGAGTTTTTTCCATTTTTGTCACCGACTATTGTGTCAAATACACTTTTGGTGCTAGACTTTTAATTCTTTCATTTTTAGTCTTTGACTGTTGTGCTAGAGACACTTTTAGTCATCGATTTCAAAGTTTCCCACATTTAATCTCGAGTATTATCAAATTACGATTTTGACACCATAAGTGGATGACTAAATATGTCACTAATATAATAGTTGAAGGATACAAAACGTCTCTTCTAAATATTCGAGAACTAAAACTGGAAAAAGTCAGAGCCGAGTACCAAAAATGTCAATGACATAATAGTCGGATGATCAAAAGTGACAAAAGCCGAGTACCAAAAATTTCAACCTAACTAGCATTTCTTTTATTCTTTTATTCCTTTTTTGTGAAGAAAATAATGCCACTTACAAGGTATCAAACTTAAGTATGTACCAATGAGTGAATCCCCCTCACTTAGCTCGAAGCACTGTCCTCAGTGCTCGTCTTCGTCATGACCGGGCCGAAACGGACATCCTCGTAGCATTGAATTGGTCCCCTAGCACTTTACCTTTCTCCCTTATCTCTCTTCGGTGTCATTATTATTCCCTTTTGGAAGCTTGAAATTTGGATTTGAGGGTAGGGGGTAGGGTTTCTTTTTAGGTAAATATGAGGGGAGATGGAGATTTTTTTGGGTGTTTTATTGTAGAGGAGATTGAGGGGAGTGATTTGGAGGTAGTTTGGATGAATTTGGGTGAGCAATGAGGGAGAATTTGAAGAAAGAAAGTTGAAAAATGGAGGTTTGGGGAGAGAGGGTTCGAATTGGAGAAGTTGATTTGGGGATATCTGTTGGGTTTCGGGTAGAAAACGCAGCGGAATAAATGACAAATTTACTACCCAAAAAAACAATCGGATTTGAGGTTCATATTATAAACGAAATTACAAGACATAAGAGGGACTTGCATAGTAATCTTAATCAAGGATGTCAGACAGTCCGAGAAAACGATCTCGAGCTCTACCGGTATCCACACGCATGTGACTGGATCGGCCGCAGGGAACGTGCTAGCGTTCTCTTCTTTCTTTCTCTCTACTCTATGTTTGAGAAGTGAATTTTTAACTCTTAAAAATTCGTGGGTCTATATAGCCCTATTTATAAGAGGAGGAAAAAAGGAATTTTATAGCTAATAAAACCCTCCAAGAGGCCCTAGCCCAATACCATTCGAAACCCTATTTCGAATTGGGCTAATCAGACTATTTTAATGTTATTAACAAACATTAATGATCCAAATCACTTAGGTGTGTGACCCTGTAGGTTTATATATTATTGACAGTGGGTTAGAAAATTAATTCGAGCCTCACAAATCATAAGCGGCCTCTAGAAAGGCATTATGACTATCCAAAAAATATATAAATGTCAATTAAATCTGACATAACCTTTTAATGATTAATTTGTGCTAATAATTCTCTTTTGTCAAACTATATCTTAATTGAGACAAGGTTAGGTCGTGTCATCCTTGTTATTCTCAATTAATATATCTTGATTACCAAGTAAGATTAATCTTGATCAAATGACACCTCATTTGAGCATGACCATGCTTATTAATCTTACTTGTCAAGGGGGCCAATAGATATCTTTCTCTCGCTATACAAGAGTGACACAAACTATCTTGATAATTCACATACTACTACATGGTTCATAATATGTACAATCACCACCTTTATAATTATCTAATTAAAGATAACATTTAATGATGTTAACACATATTAATTCTCATGCAAGTAACCATGATTATCTCAAGTACAAGAATATAGCACCTCATCATTATTGAGGACAAAACTGATGACATGTAACCTAGCAGTGTCCTCAAGTTGGGTCTGTCCAATGAACTTGTTCCCCAACAAGTATCTATATTATTAACTTGATATCTCTATACCCATGACTAGTGGAATATAGCGATCAGTTAATCCACATACTGGTCTATTAATTATTAATGTCCTAAATTAATAATATTAGACCAGGGACAATTAGAATATTATGCTTATTTTAAAGTGTAGCAGCATTCCACAGTTAAGTCACATACTTAATTAGCTACTAAACATAGTATTCAGGGACTAAATATTAATAAAGAAAACTCACAATAATAATTAACATAAAATGAGTTTGTGACTTCATTAATTAATGAGCATTAAATATTTATTGATAAATCATAACTATGATTGTTTTTAAGGCATATTTCCAACCATATCTAGTTTACTCTTGGATCATATGGGGATTAGGATCCTCTGTCGCACGACAGGGTCCTTGGCTTAAATCGGACGGCAAAGAAGAGAGGAGCAGCACATTGAGATCGTTAAATATTGCATCGGAAGGCCATAATTAGCCAGGCACCCTACCTGGCGGCCAAATCCAGGCAGAGAAACCGGATCCATCATATGGTGGCTGAATATTCCTTGCGATTCATTCAGACTTTGGATTATAGCTCTCAATCAAGCTTTTCACTTTATACGATAGTACAATTTTTCTCCTTCCATTCTTCTAGCCTTCAACACCGCCTCAATTGCCGAACATATAAGGGAAAATTAAACAGAGAGAATTAAAATATTACGGGATAAGGGTCAGATAGGGCCTCGAACTCGAAAAAAAATATCAAATAAGGTCATATTTAGGATGCTCTGTCCGGCCGACGCCATTTGGGGTGGTTCCCGATGGAATTTTTTGATGAAATTTTTTGAACATCTTCCTCATTAAGTCTAGTTTACTCATACCAAATTTCACCTAAAAATGCAACCGGGAAGGTAGTCAAATGATTTTCCGAAATGTACGGGGTTGTTTAACTTCACAATTATCTTCAAAAAATCATTTGACTACCTTCCCGGTTGAATTTTTAGCTGAAATTTGGTATGAGTAAACTAGACTTAATGAGGAAGATGCTCAAAAAAATTCATCAAAAAATGGCATCTGGAACTGTCCCAAATGGCGTCGGCCGGACAGAGCATCCTAAATATGACCTTATTTGACATTTTTTTTCGAGTTCGAGGCCCTATCTGACCCTTATCCCAAATATTACTGGGTGGGCCAAACAAATGGTACAGTTAAGCATCTTCATGGATCATAAGGAATATTTTAGGGATTTTAAAGCTTAATTTTTTTTATTCCTGAATTGATATCAAATAAGATTGCGCTTTACTCTTTCAGTATACCAGTCATTCAATCTGAATTCTTAAAGCAAATTTTTTATTTTTTATTATAAAACCAATTAATTTCGTTTTTTGGTCTATTTATTTCTTTTTGTAAACGTTCAAAGTTAAGTTTTTATTGGTCTCCTTTAACGTTCGAGTGAGTTGAATTAAATTTAAATCTTACTACCTTAATGAATTTAGCATTTACCCACCGGTACTGATTTTGGTGATTTGCCTTCCGGGCTACAAAAAGAATAGGGAAAAAGGTGCAAATAGGCCCATGTACTAACCAAAAAAGGTCAAATAAGCCCTTATTTAGGAGGCTCTGTCCAGCCGTCGCCATTTGGGTTGGTTCCCGGTGGATTTTTTTTATGAAACTTTTTGAGCATCTTATTCATTAAGTCTCGTTTAATCATACAAAATTTCAGCTAAAACTTCAACCGGGAAGGCATTCAAATGAATTCTTGAAAATAACTGCACACTTAGAAGCGCAATTATCTTCAAGAATTCATTTGAATGTCTTCCCGATTGAAGTTTTAGCTGAAATTTGATATGAGTAAACTAGACTTGATGAATAAGATGCTCAAAAAAATTTATTAAAAAATTCCACCGGGAACCACCCCAAATGACGACGGCCGGACAGAACCTCCTAAATAAGGGCTTATTTGACCTTTTTTGGTTAGTACATGGGCCTATTTGCACCTTTTCCCAAAAGAATATAGCATTTTTACTTTTGACTGCTTGTTTTAAATCAATAGACAATCTTTAGCTGCTTCAACTGCTTGTATGTTTTTGTTGCTTTAAATTAAACCACAGTAGGTCATTTGATTTGAACCTTTGCCTTAGCTTTGTAGAGGTTTTATGGGCTTTGGATTATGTTCTATTTCATGGCTTTATTTCTACTGCGTTTGAGAACGCACGTATGTGCGTGAATAATAATGAGCAGAAAAACGTGTACTAGTTTTTGGGTCTAATGCCCCTTAAATACAATTCAGTGTTTTAACCAAAGAAGGCAACTAGCCCAAAAGGAAACAAATAAAAAGTAATTATAATAGCTACGGAAGTAATTATAATAGCTACGGAAATATTGGAAAGATAATAATATTGATATATTCTAATACCCCCCTCAAGCTATGTTGTAAGACCCGAACCGGACCGGCCGGTCCAACCCGGAAACCGCCAACCCGGCCTGCAGTCCGGTCCGGTTAGGCATAGAACCGCAAATGTGGTGGAAACCGCAAATATCTGGGTCGAATCATATCCGTTTTTCCCATGTTCACTTGCTTTATTTGATCTCTTATGATCTCCGGGTCGAATCATATCCGTTTTTTCACACATCTTTGTCCTCCATGAAGCTTCCTCTTGTCTCTAATGCTCCTTCCTTATGCTCCCAAGCTCATTCCTCTTCTTTTCATCATGTTTTTGCTTACATGTCAAAATATCTTAATATCTTCTAATTCTTCTTTAATTTTAGAAGATAAAGATTACACCGTAATTGTACAAAACTAAGTAAACATAATGTAAAACCATTCTAAAATGTGGTGTTTATGTACTCCTAAGTAATACGCATCAGGAAAGTATTGAAGTGTGACTTAGGATGTTTTCTTTTAGACTGGAATTTGCTGGTCTGGTCTGGTCTGTTTAAGTCTGGTCTGTTCTGAACTGGTTTGGTCTGGTCTGGTAAACGTCTGGTATCTGTGTATTTTATAACTACGGAAGTCTGGTCTGGTCTGGTCTGGTCTGTTTAAGTCTGGTCTGGGACTGAAAACAGTCCAAAAGAAAACATCTTTAATTTAAGGATTGCCCAAAAAGGAAAGTGAGAACTTAATTGCCAGACGGAAGGAGTAGGTTTTTTGAGTTATGCGTTCATAAAATTAAATGATTATTTATTCTTGCATAGTTTTGTCATCTGTTTCGGTTTACAGGAGTTTGAGGGTGATTATGATGATGAGTATGTTCCTGTGGCAAAATGAAGAGCGCTTGAGGCACAGAAGATCCTGCAGCAGAAGGGGAAATCTGCACCGTCAGAAAAGGAAGTTGAAGCTGAAAAGACAAAACAATTTGAGGAAAAACCAAGTTTGCTTGTGAAGAAGGAAATTCTAGAGGTGAGTGTGGCTGAGCAAATGGTTCAACAAGGGAAAGAAATGATTGAGCATCTCTCGGATAGGAAGCCTCCATTAGGCATCAGAAGGATGCGAAAAAGAGCCCATGACACCATTCGTAAAAAGTGGCACATTATTGTGGATGGGGATGATATCCCTCCGCCCGTTAAAAGATTTAAAGATATGAGGTTTCCCGGACCAATTCTGGACAAGCTTAAAGCTAAGGGAATCATCCAACCAACTCCAATCCAAGCACAAGGATTGCCTGTTATCCTGTCTGGAAGAGATATGATTGGAATAGCATTTACAGGCTCCGGAAAGACGCAGGTTTTCGTTCTTCCACTTATCATGCTGGCCCTACAGGAGGAGATAATGATGCCTATTCTGCCTGGAGAAGGGCCGTTTGGATTAATCATTTGTCCTTCTAGAGAGCTAGCACAACAAACATATGAAGTTATAGAAGAGTTTCTAGAGCCTCTAAGGGAGGCTGGGTACCCTGAGATTAGACCTCTATTATGTATTGGTGGAATTGACATCAAGTCCCAGCTAGATGTGGTGAAGTTGCTACACCTGGAAGACTTAAAGATATGCTTGCTAAAAAGAAAATGTGCCTTGAGAATTGCAGGTAAGAATTCCTTGCTGCTTCTGTTGTAGGATTAGTGTTGCATGAAACCTTTTGGAAGCTATGATAAAGGAATTAACCCATAAATTTGTTAATTAGAAATTCATCTTTGGCAACAACATATTACATTTTCGGTATTAATTATTACGACAATAAAGTGCGTCCAGAGTAACTGTTAATGTCAGTAAGCTTTTTGTCTAAACTTTCAATTAATTAATTACCTAATTCAGAAACATGAGCCTTTGTTCGAATGTCTAGTTTCATCGATAGATTACTCACATCATTTATTCATCATTGTAGTTTAAATTTTTTTGAATTTCCTTTAATGCCTTCAGTGTGCCTAAAAAATGCCTTTCTTCTTTTTTCACGGCATTAACTAACTACTCCTAAGCTGGAAACCTAAAAAATCTGCACCAATTTTGTCATACAAATGTTGTATCTGTGACTTCCTGAGAGTTTGGACCTTCACTTGCTTACCTCCATGCTTGTCTTATATGCAGATATTTAACACTAGGCGAAGCAGACAGATTAGTAGACATCGGTTTTGAAGATGACATCAGGGAAGTTTACAATCATTTCAAATTCCAAAGGCAAACTCTACTTTTTTCCGCCACAATGCCTACAAAGATAGAAAACTTTGCAAGAAGTGTTTTGGTTAAACCCATAACAGTGAATGTGGGAAGAGCTGGAGCGGCTAACTTAGATGTTGTCCAGGAAGTAGAGTATGTGAAGCAGGAGGCAAAGTTGAATTACTATTAGATTGGGCCTTACTAATTGTATATTTCTTGTAATTTTGGGCTAAGGGCTCTACTTAATTAGATAGCTAATGTGTATATATATAGGGGTCTCGGCTCATTGTAAAGGCAGAGGAATAATTTTTCCATTCAATAAGATTATTTGCTTCCTATTTTAAGATGGTATCAGAGCATCGGTAGGTCTGCGTCGCATCATCGGCAATCTCCGCGGAAGGCACCAGCGAGCCAGAAGCAGAGTTTCGACATGAGTGATCCAACCTCCGTTTATTACTTGGGTTCCGGCGATCAACCCGGTAACCAAATTACTCATGTTGTCTTTAAAGGGGACAATTATGTGGCGTGGTCTCGAGCGATTGCATTAGCCCTCAAGGCTCGCCGGAAATATGTGTTCGTTGATGGAACACAGAAGAAGCCGACTGAAGAGGCGCAGCTATCCAACTGGGAGACGGTGAACTCTATGGTCGTTTCGTGGTTGCTGCGATGTATGGACCCGGCGTTAGCAGCTTCCATCCCGTTCCACGATGAAGCACGCGCGTTGTGGTTATACTTGGAAAACCGGTTCAGCGTTGCCAATGGTCCGAGGCTGCAGCAGCTTCGGTCCTCCATCACAAACTGCCGGCAGACAAAGGGAATGACAGTGGACGGATACTACACGACATTGATGAGTTATTTTGACGAACTGAACCGGTTGAAGCCATTGCACGTGTGCACTTGTGGCCACTGTACCTGCGGGCTTGCTGCAAAGTTTGCAGCCGATAGAGATGAAGAAAAACTGCATCAATTCCTAATCGGAATTGATGACGAAGTGTACGGGACGGTACGATCCAATCTGCTCTCACATACTCCGTTGCCAGACTTGAACAGGGCTTATCAAGCCTTCATCCAAGAAGAAAACTCGCGGGCAGTGGCTCGCGGAAAGGCCGGTGAGATTGATACCCAGGCATTTGCACTTCAAGTAGATAGGCACGCCAAAGGGAAACAAGAGAAGCTGGACCGAACTAAACTGATGTGTACTCACTGCAAAAAGAAAGGACACGATGTCGGGTCTTGTTTCAAGTTGTTGGGGTACCCAGAATGGTGGGAGGAACGTAACCGAACAAATAATGGAGCTGCTGGCCGTGGAGGGGGGGTCAAGACGCACGCCGTTATCACGACCGGTGAAGGTTCATCCTCTACGGCTGAGGCGACTGGACTGCCCTCATTGAGCAAGGAACAGGTTCAAGCTTTGCTGAGTTTAATTAATGCTGAAACTCGTTCATCCGATCGTATGGCAGGTAAGTTTGATTGGATTATTGACACAGGAGCCTCTCATCACGTCACAGGTGATATTACCTGTCTGACTGATAGAACTCGTATTTGTACACGTCTGGTGGGATTGCCAGACGGGAGAACAGTTGCGGCGATCTTGGAGGGCCGTGTTTATTTTTCTGAACAATTTATTCTAGAACATGTACTTTATGTGCCCGGATTAAAATGTCATTTAATCTCGGTGTCACAATTGATTGATCAGTCTGCCTGTTTAGTTACTTTCACTGATTCGTTTTGTGCTATACAGGACCGTCCCTCGAGGAACCTGATTGGAGCCGGTGAGAGACGGGATGGGCTTTATTATTTCTGCAGAGTACCTATGTTGCACGTTATCCACACGTCAGATTTACCTGCGTTCGAACTGTGGCATCGGCGTTTGGGGCACCCGTCTGACCGTGTTATTAAATTATTGCCTACTATTTATACTAATTCTTCTACCAAACGTTTGAATAAACCTTGTGAGGTGTGTCCACAAGCCAAGCAAGTGCGTGATTCTTTTCCTATCAGTAGTAATAAAGCAAGTAGAATTTTGGAGCTTATTCATTGTGATTTGTGGGGTCCCTATAAAACCCCTTCTACTTGTGATGCTGTTTATTTTATGACATTGGTTGATGATTATTCTCGGGCTGTGTGGGTGTATTTACTGCGTGACAAGAAGGAAGTTTATCGGTTTTTCCTTTCTTACATTGCCACAGTAGAAAAACAATTTGAAGTTTCGGTTAAAATTGTGCGTAGTGATAATGGCACAGAATTCAAATGTCTGCTACCATATTTTGAGGAACGTGGAATTTTGTTTCAGACGTCTTGCGTTCATACCCCTCAACAAAATGGGCGGGTAGAGCGTAAGCATCGTCATATTTTAAACGTGGCTCGTGCATTGATGTTTCAGGCAAACATTCCAATTTTATTATGGGGTGAGTGTGTGCTCACAGCGGTGCATCTCATTAATCGTACACCCTCGGGTATTCTACAAGGCAAAACCCCCTATGAGGTGCTTACTGGCAAAGCGCCCGATTTTCATCATCTTCGGGTGTTTGGGTGTTTAGCTTTTGCTCGCAATACAAATACCAGTGGTGATAAATTTTCTTCTCGTAGCCGCAAATGTGTTTTTATTGGATACCCTACCGGCAAGAAAGGGTGGAAAATGTATGACCGTGATACAGGGGATATTTTTGTTTCACGTGATGTACAATTTCATGAAGATATTTTTCCTTTCTCAGAGGTTGTTAACGGCACTCCTTCAGCTACGGAACCTACTGCACCTATTGTTTTTGATACAGATGATGTTGCTCCAGAAACTTCTGCCGTTGAGACACCTCATGATACGGCCTCTAGCTCGGCCGAAGTAACGTCTGCCAGCATTCCCCTTGGCCGCGGCATGCGGTCTAAGCGACCATCAGTGTTACTTCGAGATTATGTTGCTCATTTAAGCCCATCTCTGTCCTCCCTCTCCGACAGAACCTCAGGTACGCGGTATCCTCTTAGCCATTACGTTTCTTGTGATAAGTATTCTATACGTCACCGCATGTTTCTTGGAGCTATTCTTGCAGGACATGAACCCCGCTCCTTCAAGGAAGCTATGACTGATAGTGGATGGCGTTCCGCCATGCAAAATGAAATACAAGCTCTTGAAAATAATCATACATGGGACATGGTGCCACTTCCCCATGACAAAAAGGCCCTAGGATGTAAATGGGTCTACAAAATTAAATATAAATCTGATGGCACCATTGAGCGTCTCAAGGCACGGTTGGTTGTCTTCGGGAACCATCAGGAGGCAGGCATCGATTATACTGAAACATTTGCTCCCGTGGCCAAAATGGTGACCGTACGATTACTTTTGGCTGTTGCTGCTGCTCGCAACTGGGAGTTGCATCAAATGGATGTCCATAATGCTTTTCTCCATGGTGATCTGACTGAGGAGGTTTACATGCGTCCTCCACCAGGTTTCTCTTCACCTCGGCCTGGGCTGGTATGTCGTCTGCGCAAGTCATTATATGGTCTCCGCCAGGCTCCACGGTGTTGGTTTGCAAAACTGGCCACAGCACTTAAACAGTATGGTTTTCTACAATCCTATTCTGACTATTCCTTATTCACTTTGCGCAAGGATGACGTGCAGTTACATGTGCTTATATACGTGGATGATCTGATTATTGCGGGCAATAATTCCACGGCCTTGTCTTGTTTTAAAACTTATTTGCACTCATGTTTTCACATGAAAGATCTTGGGGTCCTTAAATACTTTCTTGGTATTGAAGTTGCACGAAGTGCTGATGGCATCTTCCTTTGTCAACGCAAATATATATTGGATATTATATCTGAGGCAGGTCTTCTTGGAGCTAAGCCTTCTTCTTTTCCCATGGAACAAAATCATTCTTTGGGCCTTGCTACGGGTGAACTATTGGCTGATCCGGAATCTTATCGACGTCTTGTTGGTCGTCTAATCTACTTGTCTTTTACTCGGCCGGATCTAGCTTACTCTGTACATATTTTATCTCAGTTTATGCAGGCCCCACGACGAGAACACTGGAGTGCGGCTCTACGCGTTGTCAGATATCTCAAAGGCTCTCCCGGACAGGGAATTCTTTTGAAGTCATCCTCTACTTTGAGTCTATCAGGTTGGTGTGATTCTGATTGGGCTAGTTGTCCGCTTACTAGACGTTCTCTTTCTGGATGGTTAGTTTTCCTTGGAGGCTCTCCAGTTTCCTGGAAGACTAAGAAACAGCACACTGTGTCACGGTCTTCCACTGAAGCTGAATATCGTTCCATGGCGGCCATTACAGCAGAATTAAAATGGGTGAAGAGTCTTCTTCACACCCTCGGTGTTGCTCATCCGAAGCCCATTCCTTTACACTGCGACAGTCGCTCTGCTCTTCATATCGCACATAATCCTGTATTTCATGAACGCACCAAGCACATTGAAGTGGATTGTCATTATGTTCGTGACGCTCTGCAAGAAGGGATGATCACGGCACAACATGTTTCTACTACTGATCAGTTAGCTGACATCTTTACGAAGGCACTTGGACAACGACAATTTAGTCATTTACTGCGCAAGTTGGGCATGTTTGATCCCCACGCTCCAACTTGAGGGGGGGTATTAGATTGGGCCTTACTAATTGTATATTTCTTGTAATTTTGGGCTAAGGGCTCTACTTAATTAGATAGCTAATGTGTATATATATAGGGGTCTCGGCTCATTGTAAAGGCAGAGGAATAATTTTTCCATTCAATAAGATTATTTGCTTCCTATTTTAAGAATTATCTTCCTCACCGTTTAAAGAAAACGCCCCCTCCGGTTTTAATATTCTGTGAGAATAAAGCTGATGTGGATAACGTATATGAACACATGCTACTGCAAGGAGTGGAAGCTGTTTCTATTCATGGAGGGACCAAGAAGAGAGAGTATGCGATTTCATCGTTCAAAGCAGGGAAGAAGGATGCGTTGGTGGCAAGTGGCAACTGATGTTGCCTCAAAAGGGTTGGATTTTCCTGACATACAACACGTGATAAAGCAAAATGACCTACTAAAGTGTCTGTGTTTCTTTGTTATGAAGCAGTAGTCAGTCCATACAATTTTCGAAGCAATGTTCACTATGGGTCATCCAGAATCAGTCTCTGTGCTTTATTACAGGGGTAAGACTGTGTACATCCGACCCCTTGCTCATTGAAGATGTGGGAGCCTTTGTGGCACTCGGGTGATGATGATGATGACAACACGTGATAAACTATGACATGCCTGCTGAAATCGAGAACTACGTCCATAGGATCGTGTTGGGAATAACAAGATCGTGCTAATATGA